AAGAAATAAATTTATCAATAATAAAAGATAATTATATAAATAATATACTACTATATATATATAAAAAAATACTAGTAATTTTGGGACCCTTAAATATTTGGGGCCTAAAGCAAGTGTTTCACTTGCTTTAGGGTTGGGCCGCCCCCGAATATACCTTAAGTTTGAGGCATAGTTTAGGGATGTTTTTAGCAAAAAAAAAAAAGCCTCATTTCTAAAATGTAGCTCAACCTAACATTTCTCAAGTCCAAAATTGACCAAGTTGTCGCTCGTCTTATATTTTAAAGCATGTTTGGCCAAGTTTTTGGGAATCAAAAATACTTTTTTTATTTATAAAAAGACTACTTTTTGCAAAATTTAAAAAGTATGGCCAAAATAAAAAAGCACTTTTCACTGGCACCAGAATTAGTTGTTCTGCTTTTGGGGAGAAGGTACAAATTTTAGATTCTCCTAAGAAGCAAAAGCAGAAACAGAAAATTAATTTACTCTACAAAAATATAATTACATTAAACTTATATTTTTTAAATTATCCTCATTAATTTAACATTTTTATTTTTTTTTCTCTTTTTACCGTATATTTCTTCTCTTTTTTATTCTACCATATATTTATTCTATTTCTCTTATTTCTCTTTGGAATATTCTCTTTACTATAAATAGATCTCTTCTTTTATATAGTGATTTATAAGAGTAGATTTTTAAGTATTGAGTGATATATTTAGATCATCAGGTAAAGAATAAGTAATACTAGATACCCCAATATTATCGCTTTGGAATAATTATATTTTATATTGATTAAAATCTTTAGATTATATTTTTATTATAATAAATATTTAAATTTATTTATCTCATTTAAATAATACTAAACTGAATATTTACAAATTTTTTCGTAATTTGATACTCAAAAGTACTATTTTGAAAGATTGGACAAACACAATTTGGTTGCGAAAAGCACTACTTAATGAGTTGATGAAGCACAAACTGCTACTTTCACCACTAGAAAATGTCAGATTTCTGACTCAAAATTGTAGTCGGAAATTTCCGACCTTTTCGGTTGGAAAATATAAAAAAATAATGTTAAATATTTTCTTATAATATTTTGACCATATTCCGACAAAGTTAGTCGCAAGGTTTTGGAGGAAAAACCCGGGAAACTTACTTGTGACCAATTCAGTCAGTGCTTAAAAGTCAAAGTTATTGCCTTTGACTACTTTTCAATTTTCGGCAGAAACAGTCAAAAAATTTAAATTATATTAATTTTTTTTAAATTACCGACCGATTTGGTCGGAAAACTTTTTAATTTTAAAATAATAATTTATCAAAACATTGCCAACCAAATTGGTCGGAAAAAAATGCGCTTTTTGAAATTTAATTTGTTTCCGACCGAATCGGTCAAAAATATTAATTATATCCCATCCCGGACCCTCCCCCCATCCCCTTTTTTTCTCTTTCTCTTTTCTTTCTCTTCTCTTACTCCCTTCGCCTAGTTGTTCATCCTTGTCACAGTAGGCACGCAATTTTTGACCCGCGCATCATTTAAAAGTAATATTTTAAAAAATAGTTACTTATTTTTTATTTTTATAGGATTTCAGTCAACTTTTAGTTTTAATTTTAAAACATAAGTTTAAAAACACAAAAATAGTTTTATAACGTTTTTTAGCTTATTAGTATTTTATAATATTTATAACATTTTAAAAGAAACACCAAAAATATTTTCATTTTAATATATAGTTCACTTTAATAATGTATTCTTATTAACTAAGATTAATTACTAAATTTTGATTTTCATTTTTGTTCAATTAGAAAGAATTGAATTTGGGCCAATGGGGAACTCATTTTTGGATTTTGGTGGTCCAGCAAGACAAAGACTCATTCTTTCCAATTACTTTTATCCTAAACCCTTTTCTCACCCATCAAACTCCTCTCTTAATCATAGCCATTAATCTACTTTCATCCAATGGTCTATTCTCCTATCCTTTCATATAAAAGCTTAATCTTCCCACAAATCCTGTGGGGCACCTTTTAATCTCATAAATTCCTACGCCCCTAAGACAAAGACAAAGACACTCACACTCAAAAACGCAAAAAAACAAACAAACAAAAACAGACGGAAAAGGAAACAGAGGCTAGAAAATGAGAGGATCTTCTTCTTCAGTTTTTTCCTCTCAAATCCTCCTCCATTTTTCTGCCATAGAGAACCCCTCAACTTTAGCGAAAAGAGCTTTATTTCCACTCCAAAAATCAGCTGGTAAACATCACAAAATCCATCGTCGAACAAGGACCGTTTGAGCTTTAGTCGAGTCCCCGTCGACGTCGAGGTTCAAATTTTTGGTCCGTGTTCACGTTGCTGTTTTGGTTTGGGGAGGGTCAAGTTCGGTCATTTACAGTCTTGTTTTCGCTGTACTAAAAGCTGTTCATTATCAATACAGTCAAAAGGACCAGTACACCTCTTTTAAGGTCCGTTCTAACCCCTTCTCAGTTGCCTCAGTACTTGTGTACATTTTCAATGTTGAATCTTGAAATACCCTGTTTGATCGTGGGGTCTGTGGGTAAAAATGAAAGTAAATTGGGCCAAAATGATATTTGGGTTCAGTGACAATTTCAATTGGATTTTTGTTTGGTATGTGACGTTTTGAGTTGCATATGGTTTAGATCTTTCTTATTGATAGGATTTTTTAAAAACCGCTAGTAGCATTGTTTTAGGCGCGATTAATAAATAATCGTGATCATGGGTACGGTATCCGTGGCATAATCACAATACGTAAATATCAACTCAAGTGCTCGTTTCACGCGACTTGATCATAACTTCAACTAATAATAATAATAATAATAATAATAATACATGTTGTAAATCGCGAGTGCGTTTCACGTGACGCGATTCGCAATGTGTACAAAAACAATAAGTGCGCGATATCGCGACTTATTTAATTAATTTTTAAAAATGCACAATAGGTTTCAAATATGTAATAAATCAGATAATTAGGCCAATTATTAATAGTTGAGCGACCGTGCTAAAACCACGGAACTCGGGAGTGCCTCACACCTTCTCCCGGGTTAACAGAATTCCTTACCCGATCTTCTGTGTTCGCGGACCATAAATAAGAGTCAATTTCTTCGATTTGGGATTTAAAATAAACCAGTGACTTGGGACACCATAAATTATCCCAAGCGGCGACTTTGATTAAATAAATAATCTCATTTCGAATAATGTCACTTAAATTGAAAAAACTCTCTATTCCCCTATCCCCTCGGGAAAAAGGAGGTGCGACAGCTCTGACGACTCTACTGGGGAAAAGAATCCAGAATCTCTGGTTCAGGGTTCAGAATTCGAGCTTAGAATGACTGTTATACTTGGCTTTTGTTTATTATCTGATTTTTACGTGTTTGAGCCTAATGTGCTAAATGCTATTTTTTACCGCTTTGATATTGTTTGAACTGTATATAAAACTGTTGCAAAACCTTTCTTCTCTCTGAGTCTTCTAAATCTTCTGGGAAGTGCATGCTGACGTGACTTCTTTTCTATTAGTGTCATACCCTAATTTAGAATGAGGATCAGATTAGTTACAAAGTCAGATGGCCTTTTGGTTACCGGTATGTTGCTCCCCCCTCGACTCGAGTTGTCCGCTCGGATAAGTCAGGTCTAGAACAATACACCCATGATTTAAACTTAGAATGACATAACCTCATGTCGGATCCCTAGTAGGTACATTTATTTGCATCACATGCATTTGACTTTGGGGACTCAACACTGGGTTGGGTCCGTCTATGACAGGTGTACCCAAATTAAAAGACCATCCTGATGCATTTTACGTGCTACATGTGCATTTATTTGTTTCGGCTTGCATGTTGACCGACTGCTAGAATAGGAAAAGAAAATCAAGAAAAACCAAGAGTGAGGAGAGATAAATTTACCCGATTCTAAAAAATCCAGGTATTTAAAAAATCCTGAAACTCTGCCAAAATTTTGGAAAAAAAAAAAAGAAAAAAGAAAAAAGAAAAGTCATTTCAAATGAGTCAATGTTTTCAAAAGTCATATTTTCCTGTTGTGTCAAAACCGACCGAACTACGCGGGTCTGATTCTTATCGGATGTGAGATACGTAGGAAAACCTCATCGGTTCCGGCCCACAATTTTTAAAAAATCCAAAAATATTTCCCTTTACTTCCTCCTTTAGAAAAGTCTTTCTTTGAGACCCCAATTTTTTTAAAACAAATCCAAAAATATTTTCTTTTAATTTCTTCTAAAAATCAAAAAAATATTTCAGAAGTTTTACTTTCGAAAATTGAGGAGAAAATTCAAGATTCAAAAATATTTTTCTTTTTCTTTTTAAGTCTTTTTTTATAAATTCAAAATAAAAGTTCAAAAATCCAAAAATATTTTCTTCTTTAGAAATTTTTCTTTCGCAATTCCAGGAAAAACAAAAGTCGAAATTCACAAAAAATTATTTTCTTTTTCTTTAGAAGTCTTTCTTTTCAAAAATTATTAAAATCAAAACAAACAAATCAAATTTCAAAAATATTTTCTTTCTTCTTTATAAGTCTATCTTTCGGAAATTAAAAAAAATCAATCAAAATCCAAAAAAAAGAGTTAGTTTATTTTCATTATTCCTAATCTTTCCGAACTACGCAAGATCTGATTCATGTTCCCACATGATACGTAGGCAACCACATCAGGTTCGATCGAATGATTTTGAAAAAAAAAGAATGACAAAAGAAAAAAAAAGAGTGTTCATTCTAACATGTTTGTTATTTTGAAATAAAATCTGGTTAAAAGTGGTCGGTTTGTTGGTTTGCAATTGCGAGTCCAGGATCCCTCAGAAATAAAAGCATCATCCCAATCAATGGAACAAGCACCACTGTTGTTGATCCAAGGTCATGAAAAGACAAATAGGCAAGTTGGCGGTGAAAAATTAAAAATGGAGGCAAATGTGGGGTTGACTTTACCAGATTTGAGCGATAGAACATGCCCTGCTCGGGATGATTTGATGATAGGGAGATATGAGAATTCTTTCAAGTCCTTTGGTAAATCAGTTTCTTTGAAATTTCTTATGCCGTCAGTACTGAAATCTGACAGCCAATATGGGAACGGTTCGGTCAAAAAGTTAAAATTTGAGTGCTGAATCAGAAGGAATAAAGGATTGAATGTCGTAGTAGTGCTGATGTGCAAATTTGTGGCTAAGATGTCGCTTAACAACTGAAAAGTCACTCCTCTTTTAGCTAGGGAGGAGTCTTGGTAGTTTATTTTGTCATCTTTTCTGTTATCTAGGTTATCCAGGGTTGTAACCCAGATTTCAGTTTGTTTGTGTTGTCGTCAAATCCTTCCATCTGTTATTCAATGAAAAATAATTTGTCCTTTTGTGTTATTCTATGCTTAGTTCTTTCACCGCTAGTTCTAGTGACATGACATGCATGCAGAATTTTTGGCCAGATTTTAGAAAACTGATTTAGTCTTGAATTGGATAAGTGAGACTTTTGAAGATGAATGAAACATTTGGAAAATAAGCATGAGCCAAGTTTACATGGAACCAAATCAGTCATGCTCATGGAAGTTAATGATCTTTACCTTCAAATCATTGTGAAGATCGGGTTTGAGGAAGAAGTAATTGAAGATTGGTGGAGAGTTTGACCTTAATGGATTGAAAGTGCCTTTCGACCACGACACACCGAGAAGACAAACATGTTCATCAATGCGGTGATCGCATGAATGGATACTATGTTTGGTATTCTCGAGACTAGGAGGCCCTTTTCTGCTATCCAAATATTTTATACCCTTCACTACCCCTTTTGAGCCTGTGTTATTTTCTTTGACCACCCTCTTTTGGAATCAAGTTTAGAGTTAAAATTCCAAAAAAAGAAAGAGAGATGAAAACAAAATGAAAAAAAAATTTAGTTAATTCAGATGTTTGAACTACGTTATACTTGATTCCTTTAAAAAAAGGATACGTAGGCAGCCTTACACGATTCGGTCCAACCAAATTAGAAGTCAAAAAAAAATCCAAAAATTCACAGTATCAGACACTGGGACAAAGATTTTATTTTACTTTTGAAAGAGTCGATTCCAATAGTTGTAAGTCTATAACCCCTCACTTTGAGTGTACTTTGAGCCTTATGTTGTCCTTTCTTTACAACCCTATCCAAAAATCTAACATTGCTTCCACGATTCGAACCCGTTACCTATAGGTCACACGGAAATAACCTTTCTCCAGAGCTCCTCTTCTACAATAACACAAACTATATCAGGTAAATCCTATTGAAGTGAGAATTGTACCTGAGCTACCACCCGATACCTAAGCAATTGAGTAGCTTTATCATCAACTTTGGCTTCACCATGAATGTGGCTATTATTGTCAATAATTTGCGACTCCATCTTCCCATTATGAACAAAATCTCTTCCATTTCCTACTCCACTTTCCAATTTATACTTCTTGAAGTAACTCATGGCATATGAATCCACACTTAGAGTTAAAATAGCCGAAAGCATAGCAACAAACGTTGTGAAGGGAAATTTTTTCCGGGATTATCCGGCAGGCAATCTGACCTAAGACAATCAAACGAGTCAGGCATAACGTGCATGTATCCAGTGGCTAGTATAACCCCGGAAGCAAACGCCTTAACCAACACGAATAAATTCTTATCTGGTTGAAGGGCAGGAACTGTACGAGAAACAAGGGGTAAACAAACACCAATCATGCTAGTTACAAGAATTGAAGCAATGGCTACAAGCTTTAGCTTTAATGCCTCATTCTTGTTTCTACATCCATGTCCAGTATCTGAACCACATTTTGATTGAGTAGTATCATTATTTTCAGATTCACATGTGATTTTTGATGGAAAAGAAAGGAAAATAAAAATGAGAAAAATAGCAATATATTTAGAAGAAATGGCCATTTTGGAGATCAATGGAGAGATTTGCAAAGAGACGTGACACAACTTGATGGAATTTTCGGATAGAATCTGTTGATCTTATAAGAATTTTTGAAGTCAAAGCTAATTGATCAAATGACACTTTTACCCTTAATTTTAATCCAAATTTAAGGTAGTTAAATTGGAGTTGAGAGTATAATTCTTCAGTATAATGAGGGTAAAGTAAAAAATATGTACGAGGAATGTTTGCTTGTGACAAGCGTGCGCTATGCGTGTGTCGTCATCATTTTGACTACGTAGTGTATATTAATGTCACCATCAATCTTTACTTTAAAGTATGCCTATGATGACTTGTCATCCTAGGTGGCATTAGGTCTGGGCCCATATAATTATGACAATTGTTTTTAAACAATTGCCTTTATTTTTAAAAAATTCCCTTAAAGCCAACAATAATTGATTTTTCAAAATTAATGATATACTACGAGTGCGAGAAGTAATTTATATATATATTTATTGATAATTTCAAACAACCCTATTAATTTGACACTCTCAACCTATCTTAAGTTTTCATAATTTTCGGTGCTAATTTAACAACATGATTAGTTCGAGTATGTATATGCTTATTCAAGCTACTCAACTAAAATCTATTTAAGAATTCATTTCGTCCATATAATACTACGGTAGTCTGAGAGCTGATTTAAAAAGCGAAAACAAAAGGTATATGTTTACCCGAAAAACGGATAGAGTTGAATTTGTACGTAGTTCTAAGGATCCGTGGTATAACTTGGTACAAATTGGAAAAGTAAGTAGAAATATATCGAATATTAACTGTAAAAAAGGAATGAAATACAAACCAAATTGAGTAGAGAATGATTTACAAACGTGCAAGATGAATCAATGTCCAAAGCCCAAAAAAGGATAATCTCTACTATATATAAGTATAATAATATTTGAAATGTGAGTGTATTGATGTCTGAATCTTGAATATAGGATGTGACTTACACAAATGATAGCCACTCTTCATATAGTGGAGGAATCCTATTTTGGATATAATTAAAAATATATAGTAGGGATCCCATGATAGATTAGTTAATTAGCTTTTCCTTAATTTTCGCCGAGATTCTCTCCCCTAGCGGCTACAACGGTTCTTTGTCTCTTAGCTCGATCTTGGTCGGTCTTGGATCTCGACCTCGATGTTGACTCGAGCTCGATATTGGCTCGAGTTCGATATTGACTCGAGCTTGGTATTGATCGGTCTCTAGCTCTTGAGCTTGATAACATCACTTCACATCATAGCTCGATATTGACTCGAGCTTGGTATTGATCGGTCTCTAGCTCTTGAGCTTGATAACATCACTTCACATCATAGCTCGATATTGACTCGAGCTTGGTATTGATCGGTCTCTAGCTCTTGAGCTTGATAACATCACTTCACATCATAGCTCGATATTGACTCGAGCTTGATGTTGCTTCGAGCTCGGTATTGATCGGTCTGGATCTCGAGCTCGATAACCCGGCTCCATATTATATCTCGATATTGTAATGACGACCCCCAGTCCATTATGTTCCAACCTTGACCAATTATACGAAGGACAAACTCGGTTTTGATCGTATATAGATAGTCCCCTCGTTTTTCGGAAAGAATGTGGCGAGAAACGATATGATTTTCAACCTCTGACTAGATACACACTGACGTCTGCGTCGAGCCCGATTATGACATTTGTGACAAATGTCCCGTCGATTCAGTTGCCAAGACATTAAATATGCGTCAGACAATGGTCGGCCACTGCTGATTTTGAACCGTCATTGCCAAACCTATAAATACCCCCCCTTCTTCATTGTTTTAATCCTTTACCTTCAACTCTTCTCATTCTAAGCTTCACAGTTCTTTGCTTCCTCCAAAGCTCTCTATTTCCTGCTTTAAGAGTTTCTTCGCCAAACACCAAAATATTTCAATTTCCCATCTTCTTTGTTCTTGAAAATTTAGATGGCCAAGATATCTAAAATCGTTTCTCAGAAAGAGGCTACTTCCTCATCTCGGCCGACCGGTGAGAAACCGGTGGTGGAGCCACGCCTCGAAGAACTCATTCCCGGGTGATATGTTATCGACTCTGACTTTAAGATCGAGAAACCTTCGTCGGTTGCTGGTCGATGTGAGCCGGTATCGAGATATATATACTCGATACCTCGAAGCTTTATTGATTTGGTGAAGAAAGATAGTGGTTAGGAAAACAAAGAGGTTGTGATACCGGCACCGGAGGAAGCGATCACTACCCATGTGGATGGGTGTTTGAGTGTTTACACTTATCCTTTCATGCTGGGTCCCCTCGATTCGATCATCATCGGCTTCTGCAAAAAGTACCAAGTAACCCTCGTCCAAATACATCCTTCTTTCTGGAGGATTGTAATATTGCTCTGTTTCTTTGTGAGCAAAATCGACGGGCTTCCCTTCACCCTCAACCATCTCGTAAGATTATATAGCCCTCGTCTTTACCTAAGTGGGCTGATAAAGCTTCAACGCCAGGCCACCAAGGCATTCACCTCGAGCATAGATGAAAACAAAGATCGGGGTTGGATGAGCCGGTTTGTTCGAGTGAAGACCTCGGACTTAATCCCGGCTGAGAGCATGTCATTTCCCGAGAAATAGAATATGAACCGTAAGTGTGATACCGTTTTTAGCTTTTGTTGTTTTTATTTCTTCATCTTTACTTATCAGTGCATTTCTTGACATAGCCGTTGCTTGGATGCCGGAAGCGGTTCCCCATCTCGAAAACTAGGTCAGGAGCCTGGTTTCGACTTCGACATATGCCGAGCGCATATGGCGCGATTTGTCAAAGGGCCGGTGGGAGGCTCGCACTCATGGTAAACCTTCTTTTTGGCTTACCGATTTTCTTATTGTTCAAGTATTTTTTCAGTCATAAGTTTTTCTTACTTTTCTTTCTTCGTAGGTCTCGAAAAAGATGCGGTTATGAGACCCCCATCAGGTGATGAAGAAGTTTTACCGCCTTCCTCAAAATCGGAGAAGGCAATTGAGAGAAACATGGCCTCGGACTCCGAGGGCCACAAAAAGAGAGCGGCTCATAAACCCAAGGTGAATGCAATCCCTTTGACCATGGAGTCGGTCCTGAGTATAAGGGATGAAGAAGAAGAAGTAAATGATTTCGGGCAAAAAATAGCCCTTTTATGCTTTATGGTCGAGTGAGTGTTCGCTTCGAACTCGAAGTAAAAGTAGCCCTTAGGCTTAATGGTCAAGTGAGGTTTGCTCGAACTCGAGTTAATGTAGCCCTTAGGCTTTTGGGTCGAGTGAGTGTTTGTTCGAACTCAAAGTAAGAATAAACTTTAAGCTTTACGGTCGAGTGAGTGTTTGCTCGGACTCGAAGTAAGAATAGCCCTTAGGCTTTAATGGTCGAGTGAGTGTTAGCTCGAACTCGAACTAATGTAGCCCTTAGGCCTTATGGTCGAGTGAGTGTTTGCTCGAACTCGAGTTAATGTAGTGATAAGT